GGAAACGAGCCCTCCCCTTGGCTTTTGTCCCGGGCGGGCTCCGGAATGAGCAAAAAAACCCAAATCCGGGACAAACGCGGGGACGGCGGGTGCCACCACGGACACAGCCGCCTCCTTCTCCCTCATTTAACTTTTCCCCGGCTCTGCCTTGGGCAAAATCTGCTCCTTGCCCCTTGTTTTAGCCGTGCCGGGTGGGATCCAGCCCGGTTTATGGAAACACAACAAGAACCGCCCGGCCCGGGCGCTGAGGCCGCGTCCTGCGGACGCGCGGGGGCTCTGGCCCTTGCACAACCCTCGGCAGCAGCAACGGGCCCGGGTGGGCGCGATGGGGCAACGCGATGGGGAAAACTCCTCCGCAAGAGCCGCGCGATGGAGAAACGAGGCCGGGGGCGAAACGGTCGCCCAGAGCCGCTCCTGGGTTTCCTCAGACCTTCGGGGAAAAGGGGAGCCGAAAGGCCACGAAGCAACAGCTCTAACGGCTTCACATTGGGCAAGCGGGTCTAATTAGGCAGATGTCCCCCAAATTTGGCCGGAAAAGGCAGGATTTCCTCGCTCAAAGCTGCCGTGGGGATGAGGAGCAGCAGAGGCACCTGTTTTCACGATGGCTTTGGAAAGGCGCCGCGGACGGCCTCACCGCGGTGCCAACAATGTTGGTTTTTCCCCATTTTGCTGCACGGGGCCTGGTTTTGGCCCCACGTTTCGCTGCTCGGTTGACGCAGCCGGGATTCGCGTGGCTTTCGGGGACACTCATCCACGTCGGAGCCTGGAGCGTCGCTCCTGCATGGACACAAGTCGGGACACGGCCGGGCTCCATCCCCAGCCCCTTTCCCCCCGCTCCATCCTCCTTCCCCGTGTCCGGAGGAGCAGCCGGATGTGGCCTGGAGCGGTGGCACCGGGAGCCCCTCGACACTAAACGTCCCCCTCGGCGGTGGCAAAGGGAGCGGGAACGTGGACGAATCTTCCCGTATCTCGGATGGAGCCGGATCCCTGGGTGCCCCTGCGGCTCCCTCCATCCCAATCCCGCCCTTCCCACCCGTCCCGGTCTCCACGGGGCTTTTTCCTTTGGGTGTATATGTGGCTGTCTATATGTTCAGGTACTGTGTATATTTTAGGTATATATTATATATATGTATATGAGCGTATGTGGCTGTGTAACACGTGCGGCGTCGGTGACACCTCTCTGCTCCGTGCGTACGGGTGGCACCGGAGCAGGCGGATGCGCCGGGGCTTCCCGCGCTCCCAAAACTCTGCGGAAAGAGAAAAATGAGGATGGTGGGATCAAAACGGAGCCGCTTTGGCCAGGACTTGGCAAAAACCAGCAGGATCCCGCGCCTCGGAGAAGGGGCAAGCGCTCCCAAAAACCCTGAAACTCCGGGAAAACCCGGAGGGGGTTTTCCATGTCCCCACTCCAGGCAGCCTCTTGTTTAATC